GTTGGGAACAAACTTAGGGTTAATAATGTCATAAAATGTCATCTCACTGTCAGTGTGAAGATGCTGATTTATATCAGTCCTCAGTGTGTACATTCAGATTGAGCCACAACAAACAAAGCCACCAGTAAAGCTGTTCTGTTGAGAATATGAAAATTGGCCACTCAGAGGTTTCACTAAAGGATATTCATGACCAATACTTTCTGGAAGTATTTTAATTTCTCATAAACATGGCATTAAAATACCACATGTAAAAGCTCATAAGAAAAGCTGTTACAAAATAAAAAAAGATTGTACTGGAAAGAAGGTGAAATTCAGTGTACTGTCATTTCATTTAGATGAGGAAAATGAATTTATATAGCTGAAGAACTTGGTCTCTAATTTCATCCTATACTACGCTTATATAGATATCAAAAGTTATTACTCTGAGAAGAGCATTTCCCACTTCCAAGAAGATGGGCAGAAACTTAAATGCTGGTAACTCCATAAAATGGTGGGAGAGCCTATAACAGAAGATAAAACGGTGCACACAATTATCTTGTAAGAAATGTCCATCTATTATTCATTTTCTTTCTGAGGTTTGCCTGAATATATACTTATGGCCTAGGAGATCACAGGGCTGGAGCACCTCTTCAATGAAGAAAGGCTGAAAGACACTGGGATTGTACAGTGTGGAGAAGAGAAGACTCTGGGAAGATCTTACTGTGGCCTTCAGGACAGAGTTGCTCTTTATCAGGGAGTGTAGGGATCGGACAAGGGGGAAGGGTTTTAAACCATTCTATGACTCTATGTTATAGGACCTCCAACATCCAAAGCTAGTCAGCCATCTGTTAAGACAAGCCTACTGTCCATATCGTGGTATGAAAAGACAGTAATGCCCAGAACAAGTACCAACACTTCTTGCTGCACTTCATACCAAAGGATGGTATTCTGATGAAATTAGGTGTTTCATGACAGCTTTTGATTAGTTGCTGTCTACTACATGGGAAGACTTCTTTTGTAACTGTTCCCGGCTTGGACAAGAACATTTATTTCTCCTTTTCCTGTTCCTCATCCTAACACCATAAATATGAATGATATGGATAATGTGTTATAAACGTATTCTCTCTGACCTAAATTTTCTAATTGTTTCTATAAGGGTGATACTATTCTCCTTCCATCCCTCACATGACAGACAACAGACTGCCATTTCCCTATTCTTATCCACATAATTGCTGCCCACACAGCTTTGACTTTTCTTACAAGCTAAAGCAAATAGCCATGAAAAGCAATTTAGATAAAAGAGTGACTGCAGGTTCAAGGAAGAGTTCCTTATTGCTGGAAGGCTGCAATAAGGTCTGCCCACAGGCTTTTCTTCTCCAGACTGAGAAAGAGTAAATAAAGTAAGTAAAGAGTAAATAAAAGCAAATATAAAAAACTCTGAAGGAGAAGAAATACTAAATAAGCCCAAACACAGTGCTACATGTGAAGAAAGTGATGGATATGCAGACCTAGTTGCATGTAGATGTCCATGTAAGAAGCTGTGTCTTTCATAGACATGAGCTGTTCAGAGTATGATGGCATGGCCACAAAACTCAACGGTCAGAAGTTTTGTATTCCTTTGCATAAATAAAACTTAGGTTTGTATACCTAAGCTATGAATTTCAGCAGATTCTGTTTGATCTCACCAATAGAGGAGATCAAAAGCTAGTCTGCATACAATCTATGTACAAATATATATATGCACATTTAGGACCATGTAGTGGAAAATCCTTCTCTACAGCTATAAATGTAGAAACAGATAAGCATGCACACAACAGTAGAGAGACCCATCTACACACGAAAGGAAAAAGTGTCATGTACATGTGGATATAAACAAGAAGCATTATATTCATTCCACTGGCTAATTGTGGTTGTGGTCATCCAAGACAGACACAGCTAGATAATAGGGGAATACAATGCCAAAGAGCCTGGAAGGGATGGACTATTGTATTTGACTATTTTCCATGTACAAAACAGAATAGAAAAAGAAATCCTCAAAAAAAAAAAAAAAAAAAAGACACCAAGAAAAAAACAAACCAAAAAACCCACACATGTGCTTTATTACAGTTCCTAGTGTTAGTTCTGTAAATACCACAAGAGCAACCAAGAGAGCTAAAAAAAGCCGCTGAAAAGATGCAAACAACAAATGCAAATGTGATTAAATGCCCTTCTGACATGAAATGATTTGACTTCAAATTTGGATGAACACACATGTCAATGGCTGGTTATGGTTTTGGCCACATTCCCTTTGAGTTAGACAACTGTGATTTGCTTGTGCTAGGCTTTTATTTTTAAACCGATAGAAAGGGAAACCTTTGGAATTGAATGCCTGTTCTCTTTTGTTCCTCTTAAAAGTGGTGTGCTAATATTTTCTTAGCATGCAAAAGTTCACAGAGCAGTGAACAAAATTCTCCAAATACCTGCTCAGTTTGGAAAGAGAGAAACAATCTTTTCAAGTTACTTTCAATCTGATTTTAGTTTTTCAAGACAAGTATCTAGGGTTATATTCTTAAAAGTATCTCTGACAGTACCCAGTTGCCATTTATGCCAAGAGAACAAGATGTCTGGGCATGGAGCAAATTCTAAGGCAGATAACAACCGAACTGCAAAGTCCACAGATCTGTCAGATGGTGTCAAGCAACACAGTCTTCCACCACTCAATGAAAATGATTTCTTATGAAGAAGAATATGTGGAGTACAACATTTCTCCAGGTGGTCTTCCTTGAAGTAGACTATACTTGCTGGCTAACAAGACATTACTCTTGATGTTGCCTCTGGACTTCTCCATCTCTTCAACATTATGTGCACAGAGTCTGGAACAGTGCAATGTCTGAGCTATGCAACCTCCTCATGGGGGCAAGAACACAAAACAAAAGAAGAGCCTTTCTTTATAGCATCTTACTGAAAATACAGAAGCGTTTCATAAATGATTGCAGGATTAATCATGTGAGTAGCTGACCGCAACTCTTACTGCTTAGAAGTTCTAAGAACTAGAACACTTCTAATGATGCTGCTGGAGTACCTCATGACTAGAGTCTGCTCAAGTTGCTCCCTATTGGCAAGAAAGAGGTTTTAGGGACACACAAGACTAGAGAAACAAATCAACCCAGGCATAGATTTCCATAGCTCTCATACTCATTCCACCTACTTGACTAAGGGCTGGCATCTGTAGGGCTAATAGACATGTTTATAAACCCTATTCAGTGCTTACTTTTTCCTCAGAAACATCGATGACCCACACCCTGTATGAACTCACACTGCAATAAGCTACAGTAGCAATATGGTTATCTTACAACTAATCTCTGTCTCTATCCAAGCTAGAAGTAAAATTCTGGCATGTTTACCTAATCTCCTGCTGAAAGCAAGTAAAAGATTTCCCTGACTGTGGAGGGAGTAAAAGAATGGCCTGATTCAAAAAAGAACTTTAAGCTTGCTTCACATCACTATTCTTAAGGCACAAAGAGATTTGGTGGGAGGTGGGGGGGAAATCTCTTGAGGCAGGGTAAGTCATACAAATAAAAACTAGTATAGTATGGAATATAATGCATAATAGCTGGCAGCAGAATGCACTATTTATTTTCATGAATCAGGGACTGAGAACTTAAGTCACAAGAAGGAGAGTGAAGTATAAATGTTATGAGTATGAGCTTAACGTGGGGCCAGATCCCACAGTCCTTACACAGTTTTGTTGAGTCATATCTCCTGTTGATCTTCTTTGAATTAATACTGAAGGATTGGTTCATACTGTATTACAGTCATCAGGCTATAAACTTCTCATTTCCATATGTGAAGGAGAACCGGTGCCTGACTTTATGCCATTCTGCGTGATTTCAGCATATGGAAAACAGATCTTGAAACAAACTAGAAATTTAAATCTCAGTGTAAATTGCTTTCTTAGTTCTAGCAACCAAACGGAATTTAGTGATTAGACATCTAAAAGTTTTCAAAAAAAATCATACCATTATTTTTATTAAGCACTTGGGATATGGTTATCCCACTAATTTAGGTCTAAATGTGATTACTAAAAACGCATTGAGATTAATTTACAATAATTAGAATAGACTTTCATACAGATAAGTAGGAAGTAGAAAGATGCAAGGATTTATAAAGTTCATTAATTTTCTTTAAGGTTCTTTGTTATTCAAATGACTATACTTAATTAAGTCTCTAGAAAAAAAATAAAAACAAAACACCAAAGCCATGCCAAGACCACTATAGTATCAGAAGTGTCTGTACTTAATATTCTTGCTGCAGATTTTCTGATAGCAAATGTACTTATGAAATTAAGTCTGAATCACAATGGAACATTTAATATCAATCAAACCACAAAGCTACAGTGTTCAGCTGTAACACATCCTATCAGGATAATCATGGGGATTATGCTAGAATATCATACAATAATGATAAGCATTATAGCCCTGAAGCAAACCAGATATCATATAATGTATTTTACAAAAGTTATTATAAAGTTTTCTCTCTAATGAGTTGCAGCAATAATCAGAGCTGCAGGAAAATTTCAGTACCTGGTTCAGTGCCTGTGCACAGGCACAGCAAAAAAAAAAAAAAAAAGTATATATATGTACATATATATATATACATATATACAATATATACATACATGTTTATTTGTTGTCATTATTTTAGGAAGGAAGAAAATTTCAGTAACATTACAGTATGACACAGTTTGATTTAAAGGGGTTGAAGAAATGACACTTCTCCAAATCCCAAGCAGTTAAATTACCACTCACAGGTTGCTGCTGTCTGAGTCTGTAAAAGTGATGCCAACATCAACTCCTTGGTTCTACCTGCAGCAGCCTGCATTATCAGGGCTCTCTGTTCTTCAGAGAGGATAAGGTTTACATGATTTCTTCAAAGCAAGCTCTACCTTGATCTGGAAGACTAAAAGCATGCCCTCATACATTCATGCAGATACAGTATCAGCTACAAGCTAGGCGAATTTATCGGAAAGAAATGGCATTTACCAGGAGGAGGGAAGCCAGAAGCAAGGTGCCAGCAGCGGCCCAGCGGCAGCCTTCCATGGTCGGCTGGTGCGGGACACTGGTCGGACCGTGCGCGAGCTGTGAAGCGCTCTGCTGCCCGCTGTCACATCCAGCGCCAGTGCGAAACTTCAGCCCCGCTTCTCCGTCTCCATCAGCCCTGCTCACATTTCCCGAGCCGCAGCAGTGGGTGGGTTGGGATAGGCTGAAGGAAAGCGCTGCCGGAGCCGGCGAGAAGCCAATGCCCCTCTTGCTAATCAGACATGCAGCACAACAAAGCCGAGGGGTCTGAAGAAAGTGTAAGAGGCAAGGTAGAGGGGGAGAAAACGGAGAGAGAGGAGGAGGAGAAGGAGGAGGAGAGAGGCAGAATGGCACAGCTGGAGGGAGTGCTCAGCCGTCCCCAGGAGCTCTGCTCCACCACTTGCCGCGAGCAGTCGGGCTTACAGCTGGGTCAGTAGCACTCCTGAGTGCGCATTGTTCCAGTCAGGAGGGAAACTTAATCTGTGTCAATATATAACGTATGCCATAAAAGGCACCAATCAGAAAACACTGCAGTCTTCCAGGAAGATTTTTTTCGGCATGCTTTACTAAAGTTGTGCCTTTTCTAGAGAAAAATGCTCTCTGGAACTCTTTCCTCCATTTATTTAGCAATAAGGGAATATGGCTCTGATCCCAAATCATAAAGCAGGTATGTTTCTAAGATGAGTGAGTATCAGCCTTTCTGTCATTACCTTTCTTCCTCATGGGGTAAACTTAAAAATCACCCTATTCAGCATTACAAGGAAAATGAGCTTCTGGGAGGGGCACTTTTGCACAGAAACACAATGATACACACCTCAGGATAGCCAGGAACTCTGCCTTTGAATTAATTTGAAAGACTGGGGTTTCAAACCCTGTTTTCCCCCTGTTCAAGACTCACAGATTTATAGAATCATAGAATTGTTAGAGTTGGACCTTAAAGATCATCTATTCCAACTTGTTTGGACACCTACAGCTAGATCAGGGATCTCAGAGCTCCCTCCAGCCTGACCTTCAGTATCTCCAGGGATGGGGCATCCACCACTTCTCTGGGCATCCTGTTCCAGTGCCTCACTACTTCCAGGCCCCATGCAGTTTGCATGCCCATGTCCCTGCACGACCTGAAGTACTAACTTCCTTTTTATTTTTCCTTTTGGTCTAGCTTTTTGTTTAATTTTCTAAAGCAGAAAATGCAAACTGAATCCAATAAACTCTTTTCCAGTGCAACAGGCATTCTCACACACAGGAATGAGCTAGACTCTCACAGTCAGAAGGTTATGGTGCTGCAGAGTGTGCTTTGTCCAAATGGATATGCAGAAGGTCTTGACTTCCCTGAGATTTTGGCTGTTGTACCTCAGTAAGTTCAGACAATGGAGAAAAGAAGAAAAGCAATGTACATGTGTGTTAGGGGAGGAGAACGGAATGCTAGCAATGAGCATAGCAGAGGGAAGCTCTGCCAAGGGCATCAGGTCTGGGGTCAGAGAGGAAAAGGGACCAAGTGTAGATCACAGACCATTTGAAAGAGCTGCACATCCGCAGAAATGAAAAACAGCCTGGAGAAGTTGGATGAACAAACAGGGAGAGATGCAGAGTACACAAGAGGAAAGGAACTGGGAGGAAAAAGAGGTTACAGATGTTGAGTAGTCAGGAAGAAAGAAGATGATCTGACTTAGCAGGGCAGGGACAGGAGCATAAATACTGGAGATATCCAAAGGCCTAAATAGAAAAGAAAGAAACTAGACAGAACTAGGCTTGGAAAATTAGGCTGAAGAGAGAAATTTGGAACAAGAAACAAGGGTAATCAGGAACAGTGGGAGAAGGAGATTTCAGCCTGAAGTGGCCAGCAGCAGCCTGACTGGGGACCTTTGAATGTGGTGGGCTGAGAAACAGAACCTGGAAGACTGGTTCAGAGGGCTCAGAGGGAAGGGGCCGTGATAAAAAGCCAACTAGGTGGGGTGGAGTGAATGCAGAAGAGTGAAAGAGGGTTTAAAATGGATATTAAGAGCTTTCTTTCTTGTGTCAGTGAGTCCTTTATATGGCCAAATCCCCCCCGCACAGAAAATACAGTGACCACTTCCTCAGGAGAGCTGGTGTGTGGATTATTTTTGCGCTACACTCAACTCAGCAGTGGAGAATGTGCCGCGTAATGATACTATGGCAGTATTTATGACTTCTCAGATTGCATTGGAAAACTCAGAAAATCTAAATATCAATAACAGTAATGACAACAACAAAACATTCACCCCAAACACTTTGCTTCACCAGCAAATCTGCTTCGGCATCAAGCCTGAGAGCAGTACAAAGAGTTCTTTTTCCATAGTATTCTTGGGCCACCACTGTCTCTTTTTTGCCTTAATCTGTTTCCTTTCCCCAGAAGGCTAATGTCATCTAAGAAGTAATTACAGCTAATTTTTGGAATTCCTGTACATCAAATTCTCAAGGCCAAATTTTTACAGATAGCAGCAAGGTTTGTAATACCAAATAGGTGAAATGATCACTACTTTCTTTTTAAGGACCACAATGATCCAGTGGTGATTGCATACATTAAGATGGGTAGGTGAGAAATAAATGAGAAGGACATACTCATATCCACAGACTTCTTTATCTCTTTGCCCAGCAAATGGGATATATTGTACTAACAGTACATAGCCCACTTCCAAATTCCTGGCTTTGAACACTCAGTGTTTAGCTTTGTAAAAAATAGTATCTTGAAAATAAATTTTGGACATTCTTCTTATCAGTACAGACCTCTCATCACCAGCTAATTCATCTGAACTAAAATAACTGGAGACTATTTGTGTCCAATGTATACCCCTGCAAATGTTCCGCTACTTTACCTCCCACTGCAGCTGATGGGCATTTTTCTCACAGGATGATGGTGAGAAAATGAAATTAATTTTTTTGCACATTCAGAACAGATTTCTGAATGCATATTAAATTTTTGTTTCATGATACACTCATATAAACACCCTGAATTTTTCATGAATCCATGTAAATGTTGTACTACATCATTTTGGCTTTGGGTTTTCTGTACATATTTCAACCTAGATCAAAGCTAAATTCAGGGAATGGAAACTCATATGAATCAAGTCCAAAAGAACAGTCTACTCAGATTCTAGCATACAGATTTAATGACGGGTCATGCCCAATATCTACCAACTGCTATGGAGCAGTGTTGCATCTACTAAAGGTTCATCTGAATCATTACTAAGTGAAAAAGAAAAGAACTGAGAAAAGACTGTAGACTGAAAAGAAAAAAAAAAAAAGGCTTCTGAAGAGCCTAGATGGGTATTGGAGCTGAACTTCTCCATATCCTGCTGCTCAGATCAGGACTATGATTATACCGAATTTATGTAAACATTCTGTATGGTGTTTTTTAATTTATTTTACTAAAAGGTCATTCTAGATATGGAGCACTAGTTTGGGGATGGAAATCTTTGTTTCTACATCAAATAAAGAAGGAAAATGTGTCCCACAGGATATAAAAGTGTCTGAAAGGTGCAAAGCCTCAGGCACTGTCCAAAAATGACTCCAAGAGTTCAGAGCACTGAAAGTCTTTTACCTACAGCAGAAAAAATAGCTGAAGCTGCAATGGGTGGGCTACCCTGTACTGATGGTGAGTATTCTGCCCTTTGTTTCACCAGTAAGACAGAAATGGGTCTCAGCAAAATCTTAATGCTAGACGAAGTCCTTCTCCTTCACACCAGTTTCAAAATTACTTTTCAAAAAATACTGGAGATCAAGAGTCCAACATTGCTTACAGTACTACTTGCTGATTATACACTTGCAAATAAGTCACCTCCAAATGGTGATATTACAAACACAAACCCGTCACCATCTTAGGGGAGACTGAATCTGTAAACACAAACTGCTGTATGCCCTGAAAGTTACCCCTTCCACTTTTTGAAGTGGCCATTAACTTCAGTTCTCTTCCTCCTGTCAGGTATTTAAATTAAATTTGTTTTCAACTGCTTGTGAGAAAAGCAGAGCTGTTTATCGGTCCTGTACACCTATAGCAGATTATACGAAATAGAAGCAGAAGCAAAAGAGGGGTGTCTGAGGCTGTATTTTAAGCTCCACAGATTTAAAAATACTTAATTTGAAAAACACACGTGCAGGCAGGAGAAAACTGTTAACATCAATATGCTTTATAGCAGGAAAGAGTGAACTCAGCTTTGGAGCTGATCTCCCAGGGGGTATATGTTACCATTTTCACTCAGAAGCCACCTGTCTCTTCTTGGAGGCTCGACCTTTTTTTCTTTTTCTTTTTCTTTTTTTTTTTTTTTTTTGCCATCAGGTCCATAGAACCACAGTTTTTTTATTTCTTTTTACTTTTTCAGTTAACAGTTATTCTTAGATTTTCTCTTATAAGCCTGGATTGATTTCTGGGAACCTGGAAACTTGCAGAAGTATGGAAAGTGAAAAACGGAAGAGAGCCAGTGCTTTAGTTAGAAAATTGAATTTATGTGTGTATGCCAAGAGTAGATGCAAAAGGACTAGATTGAACGCTATATGCTCTGTGATATTCTACCAAGGCTACTAAGGTGAAGCTCACCCATGTACACACAGCCGCAATTACTGAAGTACTTTCCTCAGAAGTTAAGCTGCTAATACATGCTAAATCTGTCACACAATCATAGAAAAGACCTCAAAGATCAACCCGTCCAAATGTCCACTCACCACAAATACTTCCTCACTAAACCATGTCTCTCCATACAACATCTAAGTGTTTTTTGAACATGTCCAGGGTTGGTGACTCCACCCGCTCTTTGAGCAGCCCATTCCAGCACCTGATCACTCTCGCAAAGAAAAAAATGTCCTAAAATCCAACCTGAATTTCCCCTGGTGCTACTTGCCATTCCCTCTTGTCCTATCACTAGTTACATGGGAGAAGAAGCTAACTCCCACCTCACCACAACACCTTTCAAAGGAGTTGCAAAGAACTTTAAGGTCTACCCAGAGCCTCCTTTCTCTAGACTGAACTATCTCAGCACCTGTCCAGACCACTGAGATATAATTCAAAC